TATATGTCAAGGTTTCAGATTTTTATCAGAAATATGATTGGTTTCAGTTAAAGGGATATTAAGGTCTTCAAATTCATCCACAAGTGGGACCACAGGTTCATTTCCTCCTGTATGAGGAGTTTCTAAGTGTTTAATTCTTCTTGTAAGCTGTTTTATTTCTTGCTTAATATTGTTTACTTCATATTTCAATTCTTCCATAGTAGTATCTTTGGAAGTTCCTCTTAATTTTTCTTTTTGTTTCATCATACTTATAATATTTTTAAATTCATAAGTGGGTTTAGTATAGCCATCTTTTTGTTTAGAAAATTCTTCATTAGGTTTTATCTTAGAAATATAAGTAAGTAAAGCTTCTCTTTTAGCAACAGGATCTTCAATTTTGTCGATAATATCCAGAATAACATTTTCTTCCTGAGTTAGAGGATTTATTTCTAATCCATTCATAAGACATATTGATTTATAATAATCACATTGGCAATCAGAATTATTGCCTAATACTTCCTCAGTAGAAGAGTCAGATTCATCAATAATATTAATAGCTTCTTCAGAAAAAAAAATCCGAGTCATCATTAGAGGTTAAGAGAACCTGACAGAGTGTGCCTTTTAAGGCCCTCATCAATGTTTAAGTTATTAATCTTTCTTTAGGTTCTACATTTATTAGCGTAATGTCCAAATTTACCACATTTTCTACAGATGATGGGTTTTCTTTTCTGTTTGGAAGATTTTTCTTTATTATCTTCATCAGTACCAGCCTTTTTCTTTTTTAGAAAATTTTTCTTAAATCTTTTAGATTTTTTCTTGTATGATTTAAAAGATCCTCTCTTATCAGTTTGAGATTTTTGGGGTTTTGTCTTTATAGATTCAAAACCCAATTGTTCACAGAAGTCACCTAACTCTTTTCTTCTTGTTAGCTTTTGTTTTTCTAATTGTTTCCTGAGTTTAAGGTCTGTACATATTTCTAAGCTTGTGGCACACACGTCAGCAGACAATTCTCCTTATAAAGACCATAATTTAGTTCACCATTATGTTAGCTTTTAGCTTGTTTTTAACCTTTTCAGCAAATAATCTAGGAAGTCCAGCAATAAATTGACCTTTGGAGTCTGGATGTAAAGGTATCTTTATACCATTTGTAATGGGAAAGGGTAGGACATCTGAGGTTTTGCAAGAGATCTGACTGTCTTTGAGTCAGTATACTTGTATTCCCTATAAAATGAAGGGCAATATTATAAATTAGAGTGTTAACATACTCATCTTCAGTAACCTGAATTGTTTGTTTTTGGTAAGGTTGTATTGCTCTAGTTCTTGTGTACTGCTTTTTAGTAGTCAGAATATAATTTTTCTCTGTTTCAGTAAGATAATTATCCCACCAACCTTTAAGTTGTCTTGTAAATCCTACTATAATTGCTTTGACCACATCCGGGTCTTGATTTCCATTATTGATGCTAGCTGTGGCATACATCATCATATGTCTAAGCAAGGTAAGAGTTTGATATTCACTAAGGGTATCTAAGTTCCATTCCACAATTGCTTTGCCATCATACATGGCAGATCCCATTAGGATATCTTCTTCATGTTGGATATCAACAGGGGAAGGTCTTGGATAATACATTTTTGTAAGAGCTGTTGGTCTGATTTTAATTCCATATCCTACTTTATTGATTTTGGTAGGCTCGATTTTAATTGATTGTTTAAATATTTGCTCCAGACGATCAATGTCTTGTTCGAAATAGTTATCAGTAATGTCTTCAATCATGTTATTGGAAGTCTTAGGAATGTTTTCAAGGGTTTTATCCTTTTCGTCTATTTTTAGATTTCCTAATCTGGATATCACTTCATCAAGGAATTCTGAACTTACAGGCTTTTGTCTAAACCTTTTTTTAGGTAATTCAAGTGAGGGTTTAAAAACTAGTGGCGCAATAGTTTTTATAGAAGGTGGTATTTCTTTTGAAGATGAAGGTTTATCTCCCAAAGTATCTTTTTTAGATACTAAATCTTCTATTCTGTTGGTTTGTTCTCCTATGGATTTGAGATAGCGGTTAGCATAATTATTTTGTTCTATAATTGTTTTAAATCCTTCCATATTAAGATTATTCGAAGGTTTCTTGTAAGGGGCAGCAGTAGTTCCCTCAACATCTAATATAATATCTCCTGGAGGGCCTAGATTTTATTTCCCCTTTAGTAGTCTTGTAAGAATTATATTGGGAATTTATCGTATTAATATCAGGAGATTTTCTACCATATCTTTTCTCTATATATTCCAATGGAAAGGTTAGCTTATGTTGTCTAACAAAGACTTCGCCCAAACCATCTAAAAAAGAACATATTTCCTCTAGCTTTATTCATAGCTTCAATATATTTTTCCTTAATATATTGACGAGATCTATTGGTTCCTTTATTAAGAAACCATTCTCTGATATCTTTATTATGATCAGAATTAAAATCAGCTACAATTTTTTCATAATTAATTTGAAATGTGCTAATTTCTATAACATTGATTTGAGGATCATATTCCACATCAGAAAAAGTTGGTCCAGGTGATATTGGTTTGGAATTGTCTGTCTTTGGTGTTTCAACATCTTAAATAGGTTGTTGTATTTCACCAACCCCGTCTTAATTCATGTAAAATAGCATTGATATGTTGATGCTCATATTCCGTATTTGGAATGAATGACGTAGAGCTTCTGGCAGGAATTCTAGGGCTTTGTGAAGCTATATGAATTCTAGCACTCCTTTGATGATTAAATTGAATTTGGACTTCCCCATTAGGGAATTCAATTATAGAGTTGACATTAGAATTTTGCACAGGTCTAGAGGGGGTTTCATTTTGCAAATTCCACTTTGGTGGTAGATTAACTTGGTTTCAGGTTATAGTCTTAGGAACAATTAAATTTGATTTTCAACATTAGTTTGAAAATATATAGTTTGGCCCCTCTTATCCATTTTCTTAACATCAGGGCAAATTGTATTCATAACTTTATAACAGCTACAATAAATTATGGCAATGTTTTGTGAGCCAAATTCCATATCAAATCCTTGAGTTTTAAGGTTTAAGGTTAAAACCTTTAGAAGGTTGGGATCAGTTAAAGAAACAGAGAAATTGAGAAAGCAATTGAAGTAAACTGGGACTTCACAAAGGCTAGATTCAACAATTCCTAATAAGAAATAAGAGAAGTTTCTATGTCTAATATCTCTCAAGCAGAGAAGGACAAAATTATTTAGTTAAGTGCGAGTCAAAGGTTTAACAACAATTTGGACTAATCCTATATGTAAATAGTTGTATCCTTTCTTTTTATGCTCTTCTATTATGTCGTTAGATAGAAGGGAAAAGGTATCCTGTGATTCAAGGATGGAAACGGTTTTTTCAACTGTTTTTATAGCATAATCACTTTTAAACTGAAAAGATCCTTCTCTATATATTTTACAAATTGGGACCTTGGGAATATTCCAATTTTGTATACTCTTTTCTATATT